TGAAAGCACGGTATACCGAAACGCAGTGTTTATAAACAAACCCTGTGTTTATAAACAGACCGCGGGGGTTGAAACAATTCAGAGTTGATGTGTAGTTGGAAACAAAAACGTGCGCGCATGCGCACCAAACGAGCGACCAACTGACACAGAAACCCGCGCACAACCATTCGAAACATTAAAAAAAACTGAAAATAGTGGGTTGCCAAAACGCAGCCCCCACAGCCTCCTCTTCTGTGTATATATATATATATATATGTATGTGTACAAATACATATATACGGTACATATATATATATATATACTGTATATATGCACATGACATGCATTCATGCATGCATACATACATACGTACAGACATGGACACAGAGAGAGAGAGAGAGAGCCTGCGCACATACTTGCACATGAACATATGAACATGTACATAAATACATAAACATCTTATAAGGAGAGAGGGAGTGTGTGCGTGTGTGGGTGTGAGATTGTCTATATGCCTTTGCATGTGTCTATTACATCTATGCCCAAATCTGTATCCATATTTTCTAGTCTACATCCATGACATATCTAAACAGTCGTCAGTTCGCCTGGTGTACGTTTCATCGCTGATCGCCATGAGATCCTTGGCTGCTCCACTCGGGCAAGCAAAAGCATGCACTTCCATGCATGTCACGGTCACCACAGCGCAACCAGGCAGATTGACTCAATCAAGCCCGCGGAACCCTTCAGTGCAGCCGAGACGGGTCTGAAAGAAGAGAAGTCAGAATCCGAATCTGGATGAACCCTGCATTGATAGAAGGAACCTTCTCTTCAAGAACTTGGCTGATGCGCTTCAGCTCGTCGGATCCAGTGACGGTGCCCAGCGGATTTCCAGGCGAAGACAGCACGGCAAACTGCGAAAGCTGCAGAGTCTACGAAAAAAATGGATTTATGTGGTCTTGTCGTTCTATGGCACACCAGGGATGCCCTCCAATGAAGGAGCGGACACGAAGCTGCTAGCCTTTGTCCTGTGCGTCACGGCAGCATCGATTGCCTGCAGTGGTGGGAACATCAGGAACAGATGACGCGGCCAGCAGCCGTCCTACAAAGCAAACCCAAAGAGCCTCCGCTGTGAGGACACCGTTCTTCAAAGGCACCTCTACAGGCTTGCCACCTGCACAGTGCCACGAGCAAACTCCTTCAGACCGTGACCTGCCAATCGCAGGGAAGACAGCACACGAAGACCAGCCTGCCATCACCACAGCCTGCCCGGCATCGACTACTTTCGCCCTGTCGCTTGCTCCACTGGAGAGTCTAGCCAAGCCGCCCACTTCATGTTTGGCCAGTTCGGGGTTGGCACGATAACCTCATCACCCTCATTCAGGAAGGTGTGCAGGATCACGGTGACCTCGAAGGGAAGCACCGTGCGTATGCCAAAACTAGACTTGGATCTTCTCGGTTCCGACTGTATGTAAAATACGGCATTCATTGAGTCCAGACCGAACATGCCATAGTCTGCTGAAAGTCATAGCAAGACCGTGGAATACTAAGTCCTGAAAGCGCAAGAGCTCTACCAGGATCCTGATGCAAAGACCTAAGAGAACTCATCGTGCTACGAAGATGTCGAACGAAAGTTCTGATTGAAACCCTGCCTAAGGCCTTAAGGCATAAGTGGAACTGCTGGCAATGACTGCTGGGCTCTTGGTGCAACTCAACAGGATGTCGAAACGATTCTGCATGTTGGGCGAGATCATTCCAAGAAGGTGCCTACTGCGATCGAAACAAAGCGCACTGCTGATCTTTGTTGGTTCAATGCTTGCCGGTCGGATCAGAGACTGCCAGCTTTGAAAGGACGAGTCGCAGCAAGAAAGATGAATTGACAGTCCGATACGGATCAGCAGAACGCCCTCCGCACAATCGGACGACCAGACGGTTTGACAATGGGACGGCGAGACGACAGGAACACGAGTCCGGACAGCCTTGCATGTCGGGACGAGTGTTCGGCAGCAACATGGACTCCTGCCCTGTTCGTGAAGGCAAACGTGGGCAAACAACACGGACCAAGATGACCCAGGCTAGCCCTTACAGGGACAGCCGAGAGGCCGCTTCCATGCCACCGTTGCAAACCACGAAGCGGTCTGGATCTACTGCCGACTCGTACTCCTCAGGGCACTTGGGCTTAAGATTCGACCTGCGCTTCCATTTCCAGCCCCGTTGCCTGTGATGCGCGCTCTGCCAGCGCGGACCGAAGTTGTGGAATTCCAGCCGCTGGGGCGTAATGTACATGGCCCTGACGAAGAGCTTCAGAACATGCCTCCTGGCTGTGGCCGAGCAGAAATCCCCCGCACACTGTCTCAAATGTGACGGTGGAGAGCAAGTTTGTTCAACGGCCGAGAAAAAGCAAGATGTGAGATGCTAATGCACGCAGAGCCTCGGAAACCGGTTCGTTGAGTTTGCAAAACTATATTTCACAGACCTGTGAGGGACTGCACTGGGATGCCAGCTATGACAATGTCAGGCTGACATCTGTGCATCGGGTCCTTGATGTGCGAGGGTGTGTCAAAGTCTGGTCGGCCTTACACAGCATTCGTCTTTGTCTGCAATCATGTCAGACATACATACAAGTGTTTGGAGATCTGTGCTCGCCACCTATGTGCCAGTTGATGACGTCTTTTCCCGCATCACGCAGCGCCATCGACTTGCTCATGACCTGACTGCACTTTGCCATGCGGGTTGCCAACATGGATTGCCAAGACCTCTCCTACTCGTAGGATACAGAGCAAGTGCCATCAGTTCAACACGTGCACAGTGCGCATGAAAGGCCAACTGTTCCCCGGTCTCCAACAACCCCAAAGCGTTGCGGCAGACGAGACTGTAACACCACCATTGTTGCCAGTATTCGAAAAGCAACAAGCGACAAGGCAACTGTAGCAACGATTGCTTCGCCTAAAGCAGGTTGAGTGCAGAGCGCGATGAGCACGGGATGGTTTGTGGCTTGGTATATAGTTGCAGACACGGATCATGTTCGCGCACGGGTGACAGAGAAACTCGTTGCCATGATGCCGGTGACACTTGGGCTTGTGTGAAAATCTCCTCACGTGGGCAACGAATAGACGCACAAGAAACGCATCGGGGCAGGCCTAGGGCAGCACCACCATTACGACAAAGTCGCGGGCACACGTGGCAAATCATGCAAACATGAAGGACCAGAAAAGACTGTAGAGAAGAGCCATCACACCAAACGTTACAACAGTGCATTCACCGAAACACAAAACGTTCGTTAAAATGTAACGACATGTGAAAGGTCGCACAAGATTTTGCATGTGTACAACTAAAGATCTATGCAAGCGGCTTCTCGAATTCCACTCCCCGGAATCTGTAAGATTCTGCTGGCCAATCGAGGCTGCCATAGCGTCTTTTGCGCCATCGCAGACCGATCGCGTTTTCTAGTCTCAATCTGGCTGACTGATGCATGTGCAGGATACATGGCACGCTGCCGCAGTTGCTCACAATGGCTTTGGACCGCGTGCACGAAACATGGTTAGGTGGGCATCTGGTGCCTGCAAGGTTGTGGAGCTGTCGAGCCGGACCGGATGAGCACAGCTTAAAACAGCTCCAACAAAGCAGTAAAGGACGAAATATCCGTCCCCTAATTTCGCACTGCGGCTCCAACATGACTCCGTGACAATGCAACATGGTGCTAGCATGATTTTGGTGGGAACTACACTGGCCCGGCCTCCTTTTTGGTAACGAAGGGTGCGCAGCGTGCATTGCCCTTGGAGCGGTCAAACACTGACACGGCAGGAAGCCGCCTTCTCTCCCTTTAAAACGGTACCCGCCTGAGGAGATCGTAGTGTTGAAACGTAAAGGGTTGGCCATCAAGGCATGCGCAGGCTATACACGAACGTTTGTTCTCATCGCCTTCGGGATGCCAGTTCCCGCGCCCGCGGCACATGAATACAGAAATGTCGGAGGCCTCACTTGCATAGAAAGGGAAAGCCCTCCTTGAAAAGATGAGAAAGCTCTACATTTGAAACGATTCGGCATGCACGTGAACGTGAGCCCCCTTTGGGTCGCTGTGCTTCTTGGCGGCTTGGAAGCAGTCGTCGACTAGGGCGCCCGGGCCACAAACGAACACGCCGATGTCAAGGATATCCCGTTTCTGCGCGCTCTGCACGGCAGCGGCGATGATCCCGGGCACGTCGGGTCGTCCCTTAAGGACATAGGGCGGCAAGGGGATGGATTCCTTTCCACTGTAGTGAAGCCGCCGGTTGTCTGGGTTGCGGTCGAAGTAGGCTCCACAAGTGCTGCTGAAGTACTCCCCGGCGATATGCTGGAGCAAGGAGGCGGATCGGCAGCTCCAGACCACGTGGACGTCCTTGCCTTGGCGGATCAGATGGGGTACCATTGAGGCCGCCGGGGTCACCCCCACGCCGCCCACGACGAAGATGATGATCCGCATCGGCTCAAGAGACCCCAAGCCGCCACCATAGGGACCAGACATGTAGAAGGTCAGTGGCTTGTTGGGACTCTGCTTTACAATCTTGTTGTGCAAAGCCTGGGTCCAGGTCTTGCCTGGGCAAACCTTCCAGATGAACTCCACCTCCGCATACTCCTTGTCAATGCCACCGCACTTCCGAACGATGGCTGTAAACGGGTGGCTCAGTGCGCTCCCAGCGTCCTCAGAAAAGCTGCTCTGAACTTTACGTCTATCCAAAATTGCACGTTGCCTCTAGCTCTAATCATAAGCTCATCCTTTCAACAAGGCTTGCCTCCCTCAAAAGATCAGCAAAGATTCCAGAGACGCCACGGAGAGCCAGGCACCGGGAAACAGGGTCGTCTTCTTCCGGAGCTTCACGGCGATGTGGGCCGGGCCCCCGTCCGCAGGAAGCACCCTGGCAGTGCCGACCACTCGAGCAGGAACCATCAAAACATCGTAGCGGCTGTACAGAAAGTCCCCAATCCAAAAAAATGCAGCTGAGCCGATCCAGGCCATGGCACCCCAAAAACCCCGACAAAGCATGCCGTCAACGTTGAGAGAGAGGATGTGCAGGTTCGCCACAATAACTATGACAGGTGCCAGGAAGTGAGTGACCTTGCAAAACACTGTACCACCGAACCCGGAAATTGTTGATGCTGAAGGGAAACACAATAAGAATGCACACCAAGAGCGTGTAGGCGGTCGTCACCTGATGCTCCGGCAGCATGTCCGGCCCGAAGGCAACCATGTACAGGATCCCATGCAGAAGCATGTAGATGCTGGCCACGGAGCCCACCACGTAGTGAGCCTTGAGTGTCTTTTCGTAGGAGATCTGATACATAGTCCATGCTAAGGACCAGCGACGGGTTCCCAGGTAAGTGGCGATGGAGATCATGTATACCGTCATTCGGCCAATCCAGCCTGGCACGGTAAAATCGGGCAGGTAGTAGAGCTCGTAGTGGATCGCCCAGAAGGTGGAGAGCAGCGCGGTGGCCGTCAGGAACCAGAGCAACATCACGGCAACCCCGATCGGCATCTCCAGGTAGCTGTTCAAGAGGTTCCCTAGGCAACCTGTAAGAGGCTTGGCCACAATTGGCCTGCGGAAGATCCTGTCTTGCATGGCAGGGCTCATGAACACAGGAGACACGTGGTGGAGAAACCAAGGGAAAAGCACATAGGCAACGAAGGCCAAACCATCCAAAATGTTCTGCTCGGTGAATGCCTGCTCTGCACGTGGGTCACAGGAGCCCTTGATGGGGAGCCCATCGAGAGCACCCTTCGCATGAGCCATGGCAAAGTAAGCCGTAGCATCCTCTCCGCACATTGGCTCAATGACCGCAGTGCCAGCATCATGGTCTGGCATGTAGAAAGTGAGGTCATAGACGTTCCCATGGACACAGGACCAGCAGTCTGTGGGGGTGTTGTGCTTGGCAATCTCGCTGAGGACCAGGGGTGTCTGTCTTCCCACGCTCTGAGGTACTGAAGTTCCGCCGTACTTCCCCATGAGAACCGCGCCCTTGTTCACGAGGATTTGCAGATAGGTCCACGGATGCTTCCCCACGAAGGACGTTGTACCATCGCCACCACACCATGCATGCACCGAGCCATCTCCGCCACTGTGCTTGTATGCAGACACATCGTAGACTCCACAGCCCAGGACCATCCAACAGTCCGTGGGTGTGTTGTGCATCTGCAGCTCTGCGTCCGTCACGGTGGTCGCGGGTGGAGTCGGCTCGTCTGCTTGGCACTGCCTTGCAGGGACCTGGCCAGTTGGCCCTGTCATTGACTCTGGGGCTGCAATGCCGTTGCCTTGGGTCGGCGTGGAACCACCGCTAGTGCAGCTTCCCACACAGCCCTTCATGGTTGCGAAGCGCTTTTGCACCATCATCGTGATGTAGCTCTGGGGGTGCGATGCAGAGTCGAAGGACCGAGTCCCGTCTGCTCCACAAGAGGCCTGAATGCTCATCCGACCTCCTGAGTGCCGGTCCAGGTAACCTGCAATCGCAACACCAACTCACAGCCGAGAATCTATTGAGATCTAGGTTTGGGAAAATGAGCGTTAGACTGATAGACGAGGTAAATGCTCCGGGTGGCCGGTGACGTCCAGGACATAGCCGTGCACTGCCATCCAGCAATCCGCCGCGATGTTATGCTTTGCCACCTCGTCCATGGTCAGTGGAGCAAGCTGCACGTTGCCGGAGTCAAGTGCTGGCTGCTCGCCAGTGATCTTGCCCTGTGGGAAGCCGCCCTTCTGTGCTAGGGTTGTCATGTAGCCTACTTTGTGGTTCTTGTCGAAAGACCTCGTGGCATTGGCACCGCAGAGGATTCCGACGCTGGATGCACCGCCCGTGTGCTTGGGCAGGTAGGCTGTGACCTGAGGCAGAGGCCCAGACCGAACAAAGCAATATTTGTAGCAACAGGAGTGGCATGACGAAATGAGCCGCCAAGTCACATCCCAGATGATGCCTTCAGAGCCAAGGAGGATCCAACAGTCCTGAGTCGTAGAATGCATGGCCAGCTCCTCCCAAGCGATCAACCTGTCTGGAAGCATTCCTGCAGGAAGCTGGAAGGTGCAACCTCGTCCCAGAATTGTCGTCGTGGTCCCAACTTTCGTGATGCCATAATCGTCAATTGCCTCCTGGAGCTCATCAGGTCCGTGCACGCAGTCGAAAGAGGCTGTTGCATCGAGCCCGCAAAGAGCGGCCACGTTGGCCCGGCCACCGTCATGTTGTGCCAACAAGCCCTCGGAGGCGTAAACATTTCCGTAGACGGACATCCAGCAATCCGCTTCCTTGTTGTGTCTCTGCAAGAAATCCGTGGAGCCGCCCGTGAGCGTCACCTGTGGCGCTCAAACCCCCCTAACAAGGCTAGGATGTCTACAAAATCTGACGAAACCAGAGAGAGAAGAGAGAGAGAGAGAGAGAGAGAGAAAAGAGAGCCAGCCGAAAAGACGAAAGGCATGGAAGAGAGTCAATGGAAGCCGCCTCGATGTTCGGCAACACCTGGATGGGCGAGGGCCGCGGGTAGGTCTTGGACGCGTCAATGGCCGACGCCTGGGCCGAGAAAATTGAGAAAAAACCCGTTTGACATGATCTCTCCCGCTCAATCCTCACCAAGCGGCGGAAGAGAGGGTGCCAATCTGGCCTCCTCCAATCCGGCTCAGGAGAGGCTTTGTCAGGTAGCTCATGGGATGATGCAAGTCGAACGTGGCTGTGGCATCCACCCCGCAAAGACCCAAAGACAAGAAGCTGCCGACGGGATGAGCTTTGGCCGCCCCCACAAAGGAGAAGACCTTTCCATGCACAGCCATCCAACAGTCCATCTCGGTGTTGTGGTCCTGAACCTGGTGAATTGTGTAGACCGGCAAACTTGAGGGAAGTGCGGGAGCCGGCCCTCCGGAACCTGCATAGCTAAGCTCCAGCTGAGGGGTGCCTTCCACCGTGGCCGTGTCACCCATCCACGAGACGGTGTTCAGCTTCGTGCCAAAGAGCCTCACGGCATCCAGCTGGCCGACATCCGCCATTTGAAACCCGACCGTGGCTTTGATGGAACCTGGTCGCAGGTTGGAGACGACGACCTTCACGTTTGCAAGGCCCTGGGCTGCCATGGCATCGTGCACCTGAGCACGCAAAGCTGGGAACACGGGGTCTCCATGTCAGTTGCCTCTGCGTTAATTAGTAAGGCGTGCTCTCTCAGTGCTCCTGCCTTGATCGCGAGCGAGGCCGATGTCTGCGCGCTAGTGAGGTCATAGCTGGAGGCGACCAGATTCGGGAAGCTCAGATTATACCACATGGTTGCATTCTGAACTGTGGTCATCAAGGCGGTGGTGGTGGTAGTAACTGAAGTCACTGGAGAACTTCCGCAGCCAGCTAGGTCACCAAGAACCAAAGCACCAGAACGCACGGACAGGTCAACGTAAGAGATGGGGTGGATGGCTTCAAAGGCTGCGGTTGCATCTGTGCCGCAAAGCTTCTCGATGGCCCCTTGCCCTCCTGGTGGAGTGTACCGGTCTCCTGTGTGGAAGGGTATGTAGTTGGTCATATCGTACACCTTGCAACGCATGGCCAGCCAACAATCTGACAGAACTGAGTGCCAAGACATCTCAGAGCTCGAGATCAGGTTCACGTTCTCCGTCGGAACTGTAGGGTTCAGGACAGAGGTCCCCCCTCCAATGTTCGAAGGTGGAGGGGTTGGTGTTGGTGCTCCCGGCGCTGTCGTCGAGGTTGGACTTGGCGTAGGATTGCGGTTGATAGTGGCATCATAGGTTCCCATGACCGGCATTCGCGAGATGTAGGAATCAGCATGGATGCTTCTGAAGGAGGTGGTCACGTCCTGGCCACACAGAAGCATTGAACTACCAGCCGCATGCGTGCTGCGTAATGCGGTCATGTCCACCACCCAAGTGCCAATCCGGCCCCAGCAATCGTTCGGACTGGCATGAGCAGACAGCATCGAGGCCGTGATCGAGGTGTACTGACTGGGACCCGATGGACTTGGGCTCGGACTTCCAGATGGCGTCGTGGTAGGGACTGGCGCAGGTGCCGGGTAACTGCCTTGCAGATTGCCCTTCATGATGATGTAGCCATGGTTCACCCCTTGGCCCAAGTAGGAAAACGGATGAAAGGCCCGATATGATGCTGTTGAATCTTTGCCACACATGGACAGGACATAAGCCTTGCCACCGGGATGATAGTGGGTGTACAGGGACACATCCATGACAACATTTCGACTTCCATCATCCATACTGGTCCAGCAGTCATCGGAAGATTTGTGCTGAGCTACCTCAGAGGCTTGGATGGCAGTCGCAGGGGCTGCAGGCAGGGAGCCTCCAACCGCACAATTGTTGCGCATGCCTTCGTCATCATCCTCGTCCTCGTCCTCGTCATCGTCATCGTCATCGCCATCCAGACGTCGAGCCGGGATCGAAACCGCAGTCCTGCAGATTTCCGTGGCGTCGCCGTCCGCAATGGATTCCTGCAGGTCTTCCAGGCCGTGAACACACCAGAATCCAATGGAACCGTCAAGCCCACACATCTGTTCAATCACTCTGCGGCCGCCCTCGTGGTTCGACAGCAAGCGTGTCACATCATATACAACCTGAGTCCAGCAGCGAGTGGAAACCTAAATCCACAACAGGAAGAGGACTTTGCAGCCAAGGTACCTTCTGCCGGTTCACCACAATCACGGTCCAGCAACTCGTGGTGGTGGCATGGTTCGCCAGCAGGTTTGGGATTTCGGCGGCCGTGCAGCTGTTGGCGCTTACGGGCTCAACAACTGCCAGGACCACCGCCAGCCACGTAAGGAGCCATGCATTCATGATCTCGGACCCCATGCTGACAAAGCTGTCGCTAGCTGCGAAGGTCATGCGCGGAATGCATGTAATTGGTTACACAAGCATCTGCCGTGATCATATCTGCAGCACTGCATACAACGTGGATGTGGTCTGTTCTGCACTACGCTGCGACATTTGACCCTGTGTGCCCCGTCTGCAGCCACGTCAATGCTCGTTCACCAAGAAGCTACGACGAATAGGTCACCATACGGTACGTACGGCGTACGGTCACGGTACTCTGAAATTTTCGATCGGCCGCCGGACACGATGGCGATTAGCACCAAACTCGCCTCTGCGCCCCGATCATCCCAATGATGGACATGGATGATATGTTAGAACCTGGACCCAGCAGGACGCAAAACTTGGTTGATCTGACACCATGTTCCCGGTAAGGCAAAGGCTTGCTCATTAGTTCATTCCTTCCTCCATTTGCATAGACTTGGCCAAATCAGCCGTCGAGGGTCTGCTGCCCCTGCAGCATATTGCAAAGCTAGTTCTGGTTCTAGCTTGGTCTTGGTCGGTTGGAAGTTGGGAGGTTAACGGGGCACGTATGTAGCATTGCTTGCCGGTGCTTACCCTCTGCAAAGGTCATGGCCACCCCGTGCTGAGGGTTCAAAACGCTTCACTTTCGCAACTAAAAGGCTGCTTCTTTGCGTATCTTAACGGATAGTCTGAAACTTTACGTCTTCAATACGCTCGATGAGATCACCCCAAAAACCAACGAACCCCGGATACTAGATTGTGGGTAACCAACCCAGCAGTTGAAAGAGGGTGGTTGATTCACGTCGGGTGGCAAACCCAAGGCGAGAACAGCAAATAAGATGATTCGCTCTTAATTAAGCATTCTCGGAAGACTTGCTGGCCTTAAGCCCGAAAAGAAATGATGAGTGGCAGAAGATTGCAAACTCCAAACCTTACACAGGTTCGCCCACCACAAATTTCGCAGCTGCACATGCACGTGGCCAAAAACAACAATAACTTCGGTGGGTGTAAAAAACAAAAACGCCCATGCAAAAAAACTACCATGTGGCATGGGCAGGGTGGATGGTTCTCCTTGCCTCTGAATCAATCTTTTCATCGGCGCGAAGAGGACCACCCATGGATTTCACTTGGTGGCCTACTAAAATGAATTTGTGAACGACAACTCCGGCCCCTCGCATGACTGGTTCTCACAACTCGGGAAACCTGTCAAAACTAAGACTCCAAACAAAGCGAATGCGTTAGCAGACTGGTTCCCACAAAACCCACAATAAATTGGCGGTCATTCCGTGGTTGGGAAAACTCAAATCCTGAAGATTGGATTCCCAAACCTTCATCGGACATTTTGGACCCGGAAATGATGGGTGCCCAAACCCAAACAGTTGATTGTCTCCGAAACTCCAACCTCCAATCGGGTGGACGCCCAAAAGAGATGATGGGGGGCCAAGCCCGAAGAAACGTTAACTGTTCCTCCAAGCACCTCACACTCTGATGAAACGTGATGGGTTGCAGTGGACAAGTAACAATCTCGAAGGGGTGACTGGGGCTGGAAACCCCAAACACCAATAGCACAACCCGCATTGACATGATGATTGGAAATCATCGCGTTCTTGTCTCCATGTAGTAGATCAAGTCGCACAAACCGTTGAACATCCACCTCTATGACAACTGCGTTCTCGACGCACTTGAACATTTTGTCCAAGTCCAGCAGCCGCATCCTTCTGAGCCCAAGTCCAAGGACAACTTTAAAAAATGTGCATCCGGTGCAAAGCCATAACCTTCGAAACGATGGGTGGTCAAGTGGTAAGCCCTAAAATCTCGCACCCACAAAACGAAAAACAAACCTTGTCGCGCAAAACCCTGAGCCGCAACGGGTAGCTTCAACGACTGGATCTCCAAAACTCCAAACCTGTCGGGTCGGTCGGGCAGCACCACAACCAAGTTCCAAGCAGTGCGGCAGCATTGAAAGGTGGTGCGAAGCACTTTTCCTTCAGCGTGAATTCGTGCTTCGGAAGCCCTCCTCAGAAAAGTGCACCGGATGATGCGTTCAATTGATTGTTTGCACTTTTTGAAGCTCTTACCAGGTGGAATCGAAACTTTTCAAAGTAATATTACAAAAAAAAAAGTTTCTACGTTGAAACTCCCTCCTAGCTTTCTGTCAAAAGTGGCGAATTTCCATGATTCGCTTGAATATAGCGTCGAAAAAACGTTGGAAAATGCTTGTGTGAAACACTTTTGAAAGCCTGGATGAGGAGCCGAAGCAGGCAGACGATGAAGCAAGGGATGGGGCAAGGGATGGGGCAAGGGCTTCGGCACCAGGCGCTCTGGGAGTGCAGCTGTCCGCGGGCCAGTCGCCGGACCAAGTCCTGAGCCTTCTCTCCAAGAGACAGGACAACACGTTCATCAACAATTTCATCCAGATCCTCTGCTGCGGGGGGGCCACTGCCGTTGAACGCAAAGGACCCACAGTCCAAGCTGTCGAGGTCCTTGGCTTCCGAAGAGCCGTATGGGAAAGAGAAGAAAGCCTTGCCGGTGAGGCTTTTTCTGAAGCAGTTTGGGTTGTCGGATGCTGAACTGAAATCAATGATGCAATCAGGAGATGTGGACGTGGTGAAGGACGCCGAGAACCGGCTCTACTGTAGCTGGAAAGAAATCACATGGCGTAAGAGGGACAGGCTCTCTAGATTTTGAGCACGAAATCCAATGAGGTTAACTATATACGGCCCAGTTTCAAGAATTTCAGCATCAAGAGAATGTAGCTGTGACAACGGCGTCCCTGAACCAGTTTCTCGGAGAGATGTGCGCTGTTGTGGATGCCAAGACCCTGACGTTGGCCGGAGTGAAGAGCCAAATCAGCACGCTGACCAAGGTCGCAGAAAGTTAAAGACAGGGTTATGTACATATGTATGTGTACAAATATATTTGTATATATACTGATATATATATATATATATGTATACATAAGTATATATATATAATATAATATCGTAGATTCACATGTTCTCAGCCTCTGAGGGACGAGGTCACCTCCCTTCGTCAAACATGAACGGGGTGTGGGGGCAGCCTCGGCTTTGTGGTGCTTGGACTCTGCCTGGAGAGCCGGGGCTCCAGTTTTGCTTGCTTCTGTCATCTAGACAGAACACAGAGAGGGTCGAGGTCACCTCCCCTCGTCGAACATGAACGAGGTGTGGAGGCAAAACCTCAGCAGGCAGCCTCTGCTCTGTCGGCTGCATCTGCAACTCTTCTTCTGCGAGCACTGCCATTCTTGAAGTTCGTTGTTTGGTCACTGGTACCTTGCTTGGATTTGTGTCAGTGCTCTAGAGGGAGTGCACGTGTTTTTTACCTCTATACATCGTTGTCTGCAGACCCAACCGCTCAAAAACTCGCAACGTGTATCACGACCGCGTGGAAATGGAAGTTGTCCAAAGGTCCATAGTTGAGACTCTGGGATCGTGAGTTCTAATGCTGCAGGGGCGAAGAGGCGTCTTCCAACTGCGGAAGATCCGTCGGCTCTGCAAGTCTCTTGGTATATGGATTGGCAGCCTCTGCGCAGCCCGGGATCTAAGTCCGAGGACACAGTGGGAGCCCACCCGGAGGCAGAAGTAAGAGCAACAGGAGGCCGCCGCATCGTCACATATCTCTTTCGTGTGTGCCGACCTACCTGTTGCGTTGCCACAGTCGGTGCAGAGTGCACTTCCACTACCATTGGAAAGGGTGGTAGACTGGTAGACTTCGCGTGGGGGGTTTGCCAGGCGTAGGAAACGGCCTGCCACAGGAAACGGCCACCGGTAGGAAACAGCTTCCACTAGGAAACCGTCGAAACTTTTTGCAGCATCTCTGCCGCAAGAAAGAAGATGCAGCAGGCAACAGACGAACAACGGATTTGACCAGCACAAGGAAACCGCCACCAGTGAGAAACACCCTTCGGAAGGAACTGTCCAGCCCGTACAGCCACAGCGTGTCTCACTTCTAATTGTTGTTAACATCCACGCACATCCGGGAAACACAATTCACAAGCTTGCACAATCCCCAAACTGCTTGACTTAAAGACGTTTCAGAACAGCCATCGAGGAAAACACCAGAACCGCAAACCGACGCCCTCAGAAACCACCTGAAGCTCAAACAACCCACCACTGTCAGACTCGTAGATTAGCAGAATTTTTTTTTTGGCGTGGGCGGGCCTCGTCGACTACGGCTGTAGCACTCGGTCCCTACAAACCAAACAAACCAACAAACAAACACAGACAGCGGTGAAACAGAGCGGTTCGTTAAAAAAGAGGCAATGGGCTAGCTGCGGCGCACAGGCTTTGCCGGTGTTGGCCGTTCAGCACGAGCTACGGGGCCTCAGCGACCGATCCACAACAGCAAAAGGCCGTCGCCTAGAGCTGTCCAGGCCCACCGGTGGAGCCCAAAGTCGAAGCTCCGGCCGCCGTTCTAGTTCCGTCGAACAACGGTCGGCCCCGGGGTCCTGTTGTGTCACGATCGTGCACACAAAGTCAAACAAGTCCACGGTGGAAGTCACTTCCACCGGCAAGAGCTGAGAAAAGACCCTACGACGTATGTCGATGGTCAAAACAGTCTCCTGCCGGCCGGTATGCAGTTCCACACCGTCATTGAGCACTATCAATGTCGAGGGTCATGGCCAAGAATCCAACAGGCGCTGCATGTCGTTGCCGCTGGTCGGGAAGTGGGATTCTCGCAACAGGTATAACAATTGATAATTGCGCTGCGCATACAATTCCTGAAGGCGGTGAAAACCGTATCGGAGTGCATCTTGATCGGGCTCATGAAGATGCGGCATCAGCTCAGTGGAAATGAACGGGATTTGAATGCCTGGGCCGAGCCCACCCTGTTCAATGAAGGCCTCCGCTTCGTATCTCCAGTGGTCCTGGCCCCAAGGGTCTCCTAGCCGAAACCATGCGCGACTTCCATCGGGCAGGGTCTTCTCGTTTGTCTCTTGGGCCACCAAGTGGTGGATGAGAACCTTGGCCTGCCACTGGTAGCAGCCGCCCGAAGGCGCCACAGGGCAGCGTGCAGAAGGCCAGCGGACTGGATGGGAAGCGTGGGCGGCGCTTGCAGACCCCAGGGGACATCGTCCAGCGGGAGCAGGAGTCTGAAAGTGCCCTTGCACACGCCCGGGTATGAAAACATTTGAGGGTCGAAGTCACCACGTCTAGCTGGGAGAAGCCCACGATGGAAGCCTTCCGAGGAACGCTGGGGCCTGTCCGAGTGCTACGCCCACCTCGCGTAGAACCTCATCCACAGATACGGCAACCGGAGGCGATAGGTATGCCAGCGCCGGTGGCGCCGACAGCCAGCTATCCTTGCCGAGCAAGAGCTCGCTGCACACCTCGTGGGGGCGACAGCCAATGTGGACGGCCGCTAGGACAGGCTGCGTGGCCATGGCGAAAAGGGATCGCGTTCCTGCTGGCCAGCTGCACAACCTAAAAAGAAGGGAGGTAAGTATTACCCCCCTGAGCTGGGCGACCTCATAAGCCAAAAGAGTAGGTGCAGCATGCCAATCCAAGCCGTCTCAACAGATGGTGCAAGCAAGTAAATTAAATAACGAAAGCTCACAATACTTGATCCCGCCGACGTCCGCCCCCCATGCTCCCCAGGCCGAGACCAAACCAGCGAGGGATCAAGGTGCTCTCCCGATTTCTCCGCCCAAGCATTAGAGGCATGTCAACGTGAAGATGACTAAACATGCATGCAAGTCGCAATAGGATGGGAGGCTAGCGGCTAGGGCGCTTCCCCCCCCCCCCGCGCACGCTTGAATAGAGGGCAGAGCACCGTGCGCAGAACCCCATGCCCTAGGAAGGCGACCACCCCTGCGCCGCATGCGCCCCCTGGTGGCGCACGACGGAAGTAGGCATGTAGCCTAAGACCTGGGCGCAAGGCAACACCGAGTTCCTTCGTGGCGACTCGTTCGCGGTGAGTGGAACGAGATTCCTTCGTTTCACTCCCCCCTCACCGCACCGTGGTGAAATAACCACCAAAAGATGCAAGTAATACTCACTCAAAATCCTCGCCAAGTCACTGGTCACTTACCGACGTGACGAGTATCGCACATCGCACCGATCTACCGAAACAGGAGAGGAAACGAGGGTGACCCCTCCCCCCCTCCCCCCTCCTCGTCCTCGCCTGAATGAGGCAGAAGACAACAGGCTAGGACGCAGAAAAAGAGGAGGCCGACGCCAAAACGCCATAGGGATTACCGAGAGCTCACCCGGCGGAAATAGGCATGTAGCCCAACACACTGACGCTTGATTACTCCGAGTTCCTTCGTGGCGACTCGTTTGCGGTGGTTGGCTCGCACCACATGCTCTGGCACGGGCAGCCGGCCCGCAGCGCGCCGAAGCACCGCAGGAGGGCCGCTACGGCGGGGGGCCTCACTGCCCAAGGCGAGGTGGGCGACCAGCTCCCGATGCGATTCGGTCAGGCGGGTGGCCCGCACCAGCTCATCCGGATCGGGCGAGAAGGGCTCCACAGCGCCCGTGGCCTCCGCCAGCAACCGACTGAGTTCCCCTGCTACGGCTTGTTGCAGCACCGGGAGACAGATCGGCTCCCTCCTGCGCGCGAACATAAACGCCATCGTGAAGCCATACAACGCCCTGGGGGGCATCCGGCAACAGGGCACGCATAAGCGCACGCGCAAGTCTGCCTTCAATAGCTTCGAGAACGAAATACACCCAGTTGCGAGGCGTCGTTCTCGGGTCACGCTGATACCAGTGTAGTCGGTGGAGCTGTTCTGCAAGGTGGGTTTTGGCCTCATCAATGGCATAAAGGACCCGCTTCGCGGCCGCAGGCAAAGGCAATGCCACCTTGATGCAGCTGCCCAATGGCGTTCGCAGCAGTGCTGTTGATGGCATAATTGAGCATGCGCTTCGGCGACAATGCCGCCCAGGCCCGACCGGACGAGGGACACCCACGGCCAAGGATCTCTCGGGCCTGGACCGGAGGGAGCAGGTCAGCCCGACCAAGCGAGGCCATGAGGGCCTGCAGGGCTTCGTAATGCGCACCAACCAAGTCAAGCTCGACGGCTTGCGGGCCCAACGCAAGCAGACGCATGGGCCTGGTTAGATGGGCGATGCCCGTGCGACAGTAGTAGCGTCCTTGTGGCACCGACGCACTACGAAAGTAATCGTTGGCAACAGTCACTCGCGAAGGAACAGCTTGCCAAAAGTCACTGAGGGCTCGGATACCACGCAGATGGTGTGGACCCAACACTGCAAGCACCCTGCCCAAATAATCGTAGCGCAGGGGCTCCGAATCAGGTAAGGTCACAACCTCGCCAACCTCGGCTAGCTGCTGCAACGACACAGCAAGTTGTAGTCCGGTCCAGTGTCGCGCTGTGGGCTGCAAGGCCTCGAGGATGGCATTGGACAGCCCTGCTGTAGGCGGGGCGACCGAAGGGGGTGCGTCGAAGATGCTGACGTACAGGCACTGCGGCCTGGTGCTGCAGCAGCAAGGCGGCCTGCAGCGCTTCGCCCGCAAGCGAGTCGGCAACCGTATTGGCACTGCGAGGGACTTGCTCCCACTCGACACGGATGTGTGACCTAGCGATGCTGTCCCAAGCGCCTTGAAAGCGTTTGACCAGGCTAACACAAGTAGGCAACAACTGCTAGGTTGTCCCCCTGAATGTGGATCACTCGAATGGAGACACCATTGGCTCGGAGGGTTATAGCGTACTCGAGAGAACGGGAAGCGGCAAGTATTGCCGCTTCAGCTTCGGCTTCATAGGCGTCTGGGCAGGCAGGTAGAGGCAGGGAGCTGTTCTCCGTAACCGTTGTGTTTAGGAAGGGCGCTGTGAGCGAAGTTTACAAAACTCAGTTCCCTCATCAGAAATTTTATTGCCCAGAAGATATATTGGGCAAACGGAAATATCGGCGAAGGTATAAATGCACCGACGGTATCCCCGGAGAATATATGGGGTATAAATTCTCATATCTTGCTTTCGCCTCTTGGGACTCCAATCAAATGTATCCTCGCCACTTAATGATGAATATCTAAAGAGATAGCAACTGCCGAAAGGAGCACGCAGGATGTTTTCAAACGGATGGCGGCAGGCTCACGCAGGCATCTAATTCTTGAACAGGTCTTTGACGTGTCGGGAAGGCGCACCTGTGTGCCTGTGCCCCCCCTTCCGCAGGCCGGCACGTCACCAAGGAGACTTCTCTCTCTTTCTCTTGCCTCTGAAGCGTGGCCTGCCACCGACCGTGTCGCGGATGGAATCCACTTCACGGCTGCTCAGCTGTGCACGCCTGGCTTCGTAAAGAGTGTGAAGAAAGGAAAGCGGCAATTCGGAGTACTGCACTGGGACCCGCAACTCCTCAGAGAAACGGTCGAAGATTTCGTTGGTTAAATCATCGGCCTCCTGATTTTCGTCCCGTGGACGCCATCCCAAGTTCAACCGCAAGCCGGCCTTCATGAGAACATGGGTGAGCTGCATGTTCACCATGAGCAAGGGCCAGCGCGTTGTAGAACCCTTGCGAGTCAAGCCCTCGTTAGACTTATTATCCGTCTGAGCTAAAACCTCAACCTTCATCAAACGCCTAGTTGGCCCGGCTTCAAGGTGACCGAAGATGTGCAGTGCGGCCAGCGTGGCCAGCAATTCAGCCGATGCCGAAGCCCACTGACTGTGACCTTCTGAGTCAAAGAGGTAAGGGGCCTCTGAGGGAGTAAGTCGAAGTGAGAACCATCTGGACTCCTGAGTTGTGCCTGCGCAATCCCAACCCCCAAGGACCACGTACCCGTCCGCGCACTTTGCATCAGCGCGGAAGGCCACGCCTGCTCTCTTGACCGATCTTGCTGCGGCGACCTTGAACGTCATGTCCCTGAACGTGAGGTCAAGATATTCAAGAGTAAGGATGACGGTGTCGGGCATCCGAGCGACTGAACTGTCGTTCACCGCTGCCCTCCAGCTGTAAAGCGGCGCAAGGTGTGCCTTAAGCCAAACCAAAAGCCGAGCAACGAAGCCCAGTCTCCCTAAGAACTCAGCAAACCTGCGAACCGAAACAACAAACTTAGAGGACCGAGCCTCAGCGATCCATTTCAAGAGCCACTGGCCCCGCGATTCCGAAATTCCAACCCTCTGGTCTGGATAAGAAAGTTCGTAACCCACAAAAGCCGAAGTGAGCCCACCGCGGAACTTCTTGTATGCGAAAGGTGTGCCAAACATCTCGAAGCATGCTAGCCACATGAGCAAATGATGAAATTTCTCCCTTCCTGCGAAGTTGGCGTGAACATCATCTACGAAGACGAGGTGATAGAACCACAAGGTCAAAAGAAAGCGCGCGGTGCAGCGGCCGATGATTCCGAACAATCTAGACCAAAGGAAGGCGGATGATGAAATACCGAACGTTCCTACCTTGTTGTACCAAACGACCGGCGTGTCGTTGCGCACCTTACAGCACAACAAAGGCCAGTCGGCCTCTCTGACAAGGAACAACCTGTGAGCCGCCGTCACATCGCCGGTGAGGCAAAAGGTGGCTTCCTGACTTTGCTTTGCGCTACGCACAAGGTGAACTACCTCCTGGGGTCCGGGATTAGATTGCTGATTAAGTAGCCTAATATTACTAATACCATTGTTGACATGCACACCGTGGGTGCCATCGTGTAATGGCCGAGCGGAGCCGTCTGGTTTAATCAAGGAACCTAAAGAAGCTATCCTAACCCTATCCCGCCCGTACTTTTGCTCAAGAACCGGCAGCGTGGAAGGCGCCATGCGCCCAAGAGCCTCTTCCTCTGCAAACTTCTTCTCAAGCTGATCCGACGTTTCGTTTGCCGACGAATAGTTCTCGCGATGCCACTCGACATCCGATTCATCGAGCTTGCGGGACTTGTGTTTGTACTCGTACACCTGTGGCAAGTGAGGCGCGGGGCAGTCATACGATCGCGACCCCGCTGACATAGGAGTCCTCCTGGCAAGAAACGGCTTTCCAATCTGGGTCCTGCAACAGCCGCGCTGTCGCAGACACAGCATGCAAGAAGAATGGCTGGCCACTCGGCACCACATCAAGATCCGTACACTTGCCTCCCGAAGCAGCCTCTATGCAACTAAACCACTCCTTCCTAAGGACCCTTAACATCTCGGGAGTGAAAGGTGATTCCTTAAGGCGGCCTAGCGCAAGCTCCATCGCCGTGCGCTTGATATCAGGCACGACGTCCGCTACAAAGTCTCGAAGCACTTGATGCATGGCAGTGGCGAACTCCAAAGCCTGCTTGGGCAGCAGGCCCCCCCTGGCTTCCGGAGGCCATCTAGTGGGTGAGCAGAGTCCAAAGCCATCCGTGATCGGCTGAGTTTTGCCATCCCACTCGAGGTTCAAAGGCAGCCCGATGTTGTGGCACTCCTGATGCTTGAAGGGCTCCGGTCTTTCGACCTCGCCCCCCTCCAGCACCTCCGAATCATCTGACTGGACCGCCTCAAGATCAGCACTGTGCTCTTCGCCCGGAAGGACGAAACCATGCCCGCGAAGAAACGCGAGATCCTCATCGCATGCCTGAGTATGCTCCGATACACTGAAAGCTATGATGACCAATCTCTTACCTTTCCAGGGCATTGTGAGGTGAAGATCGCGGTAAGCATGTATGTAGGTGGGTGTCTCACTGATCGGAAGAAGGTGACCACTTAAGCGCTTACCGTCAACAATCTGAACAGACTCCCCATCCTGGGCCTCGACCCAGATCTCTCCTCCTACGAAGTCAGTAACCCCTATTATCCCATTGGGCAAAGGTGCGTTCCTGGAGTCCTTGTGGGGCTTGGTGCCGGTGTTAAGGTAAAGGCTAATCGTGGTAAAGGGGTGCCCGGGCATGTTGCTACGCACGAAGGATGCCAATGCTTCAGTGGAAGCCGGGAAGCCTTTGCACGCGGACCTGAGCCCGATCAGGCCTCCACCCTTCCGGTACAAGCCTGTCGAAAAGCTGCTAGGAACCCAGTTAGAGGACACCGCCGACCTAGGCGGAGTCTCATGCGGCAGCAGTTTGAAGAGAGCATGGACCTCGGCCCGAGTCGGGGCTCTCGATGAAGAAATGATGCGTGCGAACTCCTCGGCTTCAATGTGTTTCTTAACCCCCCTAGGTGCTGCCTTCGGTTGCGGTTGCCCCGAAGAGTCTGGCGACGGCAACAAAGTGGAAGGAGGTGCTTCCGACTCGATCAAGCCAACCGCCTCTACCCTATCTGTAACCGCCTCTACCCTATCGGAAACCACCTGATGCAGCCCCTGCGGCACTTCACACAAATCCTGATGCTGCAGCCCCTGCGGCACTTCACACAAATCCTGATGCACCTCCTGCGTCGCCTCGTGGGATTCCTGCATTGGACCTGCCTCACCTGGAACGGAGCTGTGCGGCGCTGACCCAAGTCCCCCCTGCGAAGCGGAAGCAAGCACAGCATGCGCAAGCCACTCACACAACAGAGGAGGATAGGCTGCTGATGACTCGGTCGCCCAGCGGGAGCCTTCTCGGCCTGCAAGTACTTTGTCGTGTTTCCCGTGCGGGCAGCGTGGCGGCAACGGCCCCACGTAGCGATCGCTGGAGTCGAAGCGTGGCCATGAAGCAAAAGGCGGAGGCTGCTCGACAAAGGCCTGTAGATTAGTGAGAAGGCGGGTAGGTTTGGAAGTGGGAGCCTCAAAGCTGCATTGAAAGAATGCAAAAGTGATGGCCTGAGTGGAAACCTGGAGCTCACGCAGAGCTGGTAGCTGCCAAATGGAAGCCGGTAACTCGTGATCCGGCGTCGCGCCGAGATCCTCCGGGTGCTCCAGGACATACTGCCATGCAAGTTGACATGCCGTCACGGTCTGATCAAGAAAATAATTAGCCTGCTCCACCTGCTGCTTGTGCAAATTGCTTAACCATGGAAAACCTCTAGGATAAAATGCTGAACGTAGTGGCTTTGGCCCGGGGTGGCGATGCCGGACTCTGGAAAATGTCTCACAAGGAGGAGAGGCAATGAGGATCCAATCCCCTTCGCCAAGCAATTGAAAGATGTGCTGCCACAAGCCTTCCTTAGTCAAGTCATGCTCCGTGGAGCGCTGAAGATCGAACTGAAGAAGATTAGTGACATTGCCCAACGACTGAAGGTAAGAGCCCACATCACCTTTGCGATGGGGCCCCGCGAAAATGTAGAGCACACGAAGCCCGCTCGGACTGTACAGCTGAGGCTGGTATGCGATGTGATCTGATGTCTCAATGGTAGAAACCGAATCATGCGATAGTCACTCCTTGGGCTTGCCGGTCTTAAGCTTATGCTCGGTCGCTGAGTGGGGCTGATAACAGCCCTTGACCCGGCACACGTGCAAGCGTTCGCATGAAGGATTGGTGCAGCCCTGCGAGTTGAATGCAAAGCAGATGTCGCGGCCTTCCGGCGTGCGCCAAACCAACTGAAGGCCCTTAAGTGCCGGGTCCGAGGGGCTTTTGCCGTTCTTGCCCCCCTTGGAGTCTTTGCCCTTGCCGCCCTTTCCTGTCTTGCCTCCGTCCTTGCCGTCCTTGCCCTTGCCCTTGCCTTTGTGCCACTTGCGTGGTCGCTCAATGATGGACAAGGCGAGCGGCGTCGTGAAGTAGGTCTCCTTAAGCTCCGCTGAAGAAATGACTGAAGCCAGAGCGCCTGCCAGAGTATAACCCTGATCATTGACCAGACGGAAAGCCTCCTTGCGCAACCGGTGCTCATAGGCCAAGACTACTTCCCAAGGTGGCGAAAGTGAAGGCACATCGGCTGGCTGATGAGAAGTAGGCACTGTGAGCTGCGCGACCTTTTCGCCAAGGATGTAGTTCACGAAGTGGTCGAAGTCAGACAGCTTGAGATCCTGAAGCCACTGCTTGGATTTAAAGCGGGATGCCATGCACAGCCATGTGAAAGCTTCCACGCGAAGGACCTTGCGATAAGCTTCTGTAGTAGTCGGGAGCTCACTCTTGGATTTGTGCTGAGTAATATGAATTCGCCCCGAAGCGTCAAGGCTGGACTGGATGCTCGTGGTGAGCGTGTTCTTCTTCGAAGTTATGGCATCCAAGGTTGAAGCCTGGGGCTCATTGGCTTCGCACTCCTCGCACTTGAGAGCGAGGTACTCAGACGATGGAGTCTCCGACTCTCCCAGCTGCCCGTGAACGGCCGCTACCGCCTTGAGCATGGCTTGCCTCTCTGTGACTTGCAAGATTCGCGGCTGGCCTAACACTTTCGCCTCTGCTCGCGTTTCCGTCTCTTTGCTGATTACGTCGCGTGCAAGTTCCCATGCAGCGACGACCCCCGCGATTTGTTGCCGCCCTTCAGCAGCCCCATCATCAAAACCAAAGTCCGCCTTCCCAGCAGCCCGAGCTTCCGGCCGGGAATCGGCGATTGCCTGGAATCGCCTAAGTGTTGTATGTCGTTGCACAATGCGATACTGGGCATCCAGAGACAAGCCAGCTTCTCCGAGCACAAACTGCAAGTCGCTATCTGCTTTGGTTATGAGCTCGCGCTTCTCGGCATCTGTGGCGGCCATTGCGACAACAGTAACTAACTCCAGCTACTCCTGATGCGAAGGCCGCGCCCCGGCCTGTGGCCCTGTAGGACTTGGATTGCTAGCCGCCCTGAGGCCTTTAGCTGCACTGCGATGTGTCCACCCGTCGCCCTGAGGCCTGTGACAGGATGCAGAATCCGTCGGCACCTCACGGCCTGCGCCGAGTGAGACTTCCTCCTGCTTGAACAGCGCCAGCACGTGCACTTAATCAGCATGAACTGTTATCGCGAATCCACTTCAAGACGCCCTGAGAAAAGTCAGCATGGACTGTTATCGTGGATCTACTTCAAGGCGCCCTTGCATAAGCAACTCATGCCAACTTCTGGCTAGGACTTGCAGGGCACAGCCTATGCACAGCAGTCGAAAGCATCTTTTGCCTTCACATCGACTCGCTCCCACTGTCACTGCTGGAGGGGTCTGATTCCTCCTCTCCGGCCTGAGCCTTCATTCTTGCTTTGCAATCTTTGCAAATGTTATCGACGTCCTCCGCGCCGACATGATTGACAAATTTTACATCGTAACAATTCTCAGGTTTGACATAGCAGCCCAACATGTGCAAACGCCTCAGGCCTGTGGTGCGAGAGGTAACGATGAAGTAATTCCCCCGGCTGCCTGGCATCGAGACCTGCTCGACCGGAGAAGGTGGTGCCGCAACACCCACTTCCAATGCCAGAGTTGGCCACGATCCGCCCAAGCCTTTGGATCCCTCGAGGAGGGTGTGACGGCGACGAACCTGAGATTCGCTCTCCCCCGCCTTAGCTGCATAGTCCGTCAAAGCCTTGATGGAATCCACCTCGATGTAGTGCTTAGGCTGTCCGGTGACAAGAGAACAAGCAATGTGACTCTGGAGACGATGCACAACCTGCCTAGAAGTGCGAATGTAGGTTGCAGAACCTTCGCCACCTACCTTCCAGCGACCCAGATAATCAAGCTCCCTGGGGTCGACATCGATGGCCGCTCCGACCGAACTAAGGAAGTTCCTCGCAGAATGGCCCGTAAAATGACTGGAAGTGTATCCTGGGAGCAGCGGACGCTGATCATTGGCCTTCCAGGTGCGCCCCTCACGCTTGGGCGTCTTCAACTCACTGAGAACTTTGCGGAAGTAAAGGGCCACCGTGGAGGAAGGCACCGACTTCTCAAGGGGTTCCGTGAAACCTTCATTGGCCTTCAAAACCAAATAATCCCTCTCAAAATCGAAATCCTTCCAAAGTGCATATCCGACCTTCAGCCAATCATGCCCTGTCAGAGAGATACTCCGTTCCACGAAGACCTTGACGGTGTGGGTCCTTTTGTCGGGCCCTGTAGTCTTGGACCGCGCGAGATCAATGCTAAGCCCTCGCTCGTCCAGAAGCATGGTCTGCGGCAGGAGCCCCTGAACATCATCAGCCCGAAGCGATCCCCAAACCATCAATAAGCAAACAAAGCCCAATGCTCTCAAGTAACTAGGCTCCCCAGGCGTGCAAACGAAGATCTCACATGCGAGGATGATAGCAACGGTGAGCATGCTGGCTGGCTGCTCCGGCGGTGCCGCCGAAACCAAATCGGCTGTGTAACTTTTGAGCTGCGCCTGCCATGTGGGATCCTGAGATATCTGCTGCGTGGACGGCACGCGCCCTACACCCTCAATTACACTGAGAGAGGCTTGCAGGCTTTCGAGAACTGTCTTTCCACATCCTTCCTGGAATCGTTCATTGGCATAATCTAGCACATCAGCTACCCCTTCCGGATAACTTCTGCCACGGCTATAAAGCAACCATTCCCGAAACTTATCCCAAGCCCTAAAGCGATTCCTCAATGTCTTGGATCGACGGGTCCCGAACAGCCGTGGCCAGGCTTCCTCGGCATTGCTGACCCCTGCAAGCACCTTGCACACCGGCAGTTGCGCCTCCTGCATGATGGCTGCAAGACGCAATGCATACTCCTGCCGAAGTCGTATCTCTTCAGTGGCCCTGGCACCGCGATCTACGACCCTATCAGTAGCTAACTTCCGCTTGCGAAGAACCGGAAGCAACGCAAGTGGACTCTGAAGTGCGATCTGATTGTAATGCTCATGCAAGCTAAGGCCAGTTCCCGGGACACTGGGCAAGCACTCTGTCAAGCGCCTCCTTGCTTCCCTGCGCCCACTCGCAACTGTGCGGGCATTGTCTGCATGCCATTCAAGAAGTGCATCCGCAATCAACTGCAGGCTACTTTCAAGAAGCGTGTTATCGCAAGCCCTAAGCAATGATACAAGCTCTTCCCTCGTGTCGAATGAGGCATACAATTTCTCAGGCGTGCTAAACCACTCTTCAAGGCGGTTGCGGTATGGTGGCACTAAAGCGGGCCATCCGAGTCCTGTGCCACTCATGGCCGACCATGGGCCGCAGGGCCACCCTTCTACCGCTTTCGTAGTCCTAAGGTAAGGAGCTACCGTGAAACTAAGCTGCCCAGTCATGCGTCACAACGATGCTTGTGAATGCTAGCCCCATACAATCAAAATTTTCCCTGCTCCTGAGCCTGAGCTCTGCGTCCATGATAAGCATTGAGATTGTGCGCGCACTCAGCTTCTGGCTCAATTCTGAAAAGCGCACGATGCGTGAAATAAAATAGAAACTCAAAACTGCTAGATAAAACTTTTCTCTTTGAAACTGCGGAGATCTTCGAGTTGGTCTAGTCGAGGGAACTCCTCCTACCCACAGAGACACCCCGCCCCGCCCACCCAAAACGTTTACTCTAAACAGCGCCGCCGGGCAAGCCCGGCAGGGCAAGGTGATGTCCGCGGCGCCCCGGACGAACTGGTGCCACACAGCGACGCCTGCACCCCCAGCACTTAAGTGGCGCTTACAGCCTCCATCAAATTGCACGTATAGCACGTCAGCAGGATACTGCCGCACATGGGCAGTCAAGTAAGCTCCAGCAGGGATACTGCAGAGAGCCGTGACAAATGCATGTATACGACCGCAGGAGCAAGGGCGATGCTCAACCCGCACATTGGGTTGCGAGGCATCATGCGCAAGATAAAGCAGGCCAACCTCAAGGGCGTGCGCGTCGAGCACTGCGACCTGGGACCCCTCGGCAAATTCGATGGTAGTGCAGACAGCGTGCTGCTGACCCGTGGCACGACGGCGCTCCCTAGAGAAGGCATCCACCGCAGACACTCGAAGGCCGCGTGAGAAGAGGCAGCCGCTTTGGGGGGCATTCCGAAGACACTCCGGCGGAGGGCCAAACACTGACCGATACCTCGACGTCGCACCCCAGTATGTGGCACTAGCGATGGCAACGGCATGACACAAAGGCCCCCGCTCGGAGGTCCCATTAGGCGGGGACCATCCCGGGGCCCACATGGCGCCAAGCTCACGAAGATATCGGCGAGCTGACGCAATGAGTTCCAGCGATGTGGCAGCATGCTTTCCAGTGGGCAACCGAGCCCAAGCAGCCGTGCGGAACAAGCCAGCACCGGGCAGTCAAGAAGCCAGTGCCGAACGGAGTTTTCAGCCCCTCCACACAGCAGGCACGGGTGCTCAAGGTAGTGCGCCGCTGGCAAAATCGCACCGATGCGCCGGGGCGTAGGAGAGACTTCATCACAAGGCGCTTCCCACCACTCATCGCCGTCATCAAGCAAATAGGGGGCAAGAGCCTCAACACGACACCTGAACCACGACTTATGTTCCGTCCAGCCGAGAACTTGGAGGCAACCCCGGCAGTAGCTGCCCTGGGCCGAATGGCCTAAACGACGCAGGCTTTCTTTGGGGGGTAGATTTGACGGCACCGTGCACAATCCACGGGACGGGTGTAAAACTGTCGGTATACAAGACCGGCGTCAGCTTCTTCAGCGACAATCCATCGAAGCGCGTAAGCCCGTGACACCGCGCTGGCAAGACTGGCAGGGCACGACAAGATGCCGGAAACCCACTGCAGGCCCGCTGCGGCCCATGGCTGTTTAGCAATTTTGTCAAGCAGGTATTGCACTGCATGGAGATCTTCGGTTTCGACGATACACCGCCTATAAAGCTTGCGTACATGTGACAGCGACTCATCAATGGAGCCACTCCTCCAAGCGTGAAAGTTGGAGCTAACCAACTCGTGCACATACTGACGCAGCGTGCACCTGACCGGCTGAGCAGCGCTGCAGCCGTCTAGACTGGCCGTAACCTGAGCTAATGCAGCAGCCAGGAGCGGGCTATCGCGAGCAAGAACTGGGCGCATACCCCCGACAGCGGCAACAGCAAGCCTAGGGACAAGCCGGGACAAAAAGCCCAGCCTCCCCAGAGGGCAGGACATGCGCCAAGTGCCGGGCTGCGGCAGCTTGAAAATACGAAACACACCGTCGACATGCTTTGCCTCTAACCAAGGCCGCCCCCCACCTAGGACATACCGGGCACATGCCACCAGGGTGCGCTGTTGCTCTCCCGCATCGGGCGGAATAACCTGCTGTGTATACTGGAGGCAACTTTGCAAATATGCCCGACAGCAAATGGCGCGCTCCGGCAGAGACTGCCGGAGAGGCTGGAAAAGTCGCCTTTTGCGTGCGATAGATGAAGCCGCCTTCTGGCCAGTGAGAAGGACTTGCGCCCTAGAAATTTTTGCTCCCACCGTTGCGGATGCGCCAGGGGCTGGCCATGGGGCGGGCGTCGTCAGTTCTCTTGTTCTGCATTGCCATGGACCCTCTGATTTGCTCCCTGCAGTATGCCCCGGGTGCGTCGGCTGAAAGCATACATGGATTTCACCTCGCTTCGCACGGCAGGATTCCATGTTTTGACGCACGAATGCTTCTCGGCCTCCCCGCTTCCCTCCCCGGTAGCTGAGCATCTCCGTCATGCACTACCGTCCGGCATCATTCTGCTGGCCCCACCTGACCTCCTTGCCCTTCTTCCGCCGGCTCGGGAACCTCGCGTCATTGCGGCTAGCTTCACAGAGGTTTGTCGCCAGGTACTCTGGTCCTGCCCACCGCACGTGCCTAGTGTTCGGTGGTACCACTGCATGTCTGGTGATATGCACCTCCTGGCCACGCAGCGCCCTGCAGGCTTATCTGACAGGCCACTTCAACGACAACGAAGTCATTAGTTCTTTTTTGCTCGCTCCGTGCAAATGTAAGTGCAAGTCTTCTATGCTCTTTGGACGTGCGCCGGATCCCAGACAGGTGACCTTATTGGATGCCACACCTTGGGGACCCAAGCTTTGTACTGAGTCAGCCTCCGTGCTAGGTTTCATGCTCTGGGGCGCGCCGATACAGGTGGGCAGTGAGGCTGCTCCCTATATCCTCCCTGGATGCGATGTAGTGATCGACGCCCATAAAGCAGATGGATGGAGTACTGTCGGACCCACTGCGGGACACGCAGCCTTTGCAGGACTTCGAGCAGCCAGCCAGGGTTGACCCGCTCGAAAGCTTTGGCCATATCTGTGAGCAGCACGTTACAAGACTGCGTTTCGGATAAGATACAATCTTGAACCATCATAAAATTCGCCGGAGCTTCCTTGAGATGGCTGACGAGAGCTTGCGACTGGTTAAGGCAAGGGGCAATAGCCGCCATCATAGACGCAAAGGCTGCGGAGTCAATAATGCGAGCAGCTGTATCCGGCATGTCAAGGGGACGGAAGTTATCCGCGAAATGGCCCGCATCGGCTTTGGGTATGAAGGTCAATGCCTGCGTGGGTGGGGGAGCAAGCCCTATAACAATATCAAGGAAATGAGCATGGAGCACGCGGGCAGACTCAGAAGGGAGCTGTCGATAGCACTCGTAGGGACAGCCATCGGGTCCCGCCGAAGAGTCCCCCGTGCGCAGGAGGTGGAACATAATATCTTCTTCCTGCGGGAGGGGACATGCTGAACCGGCTGAGGCGTATACGCGTTCAGGACAAGCTCCCAGTCAGGGGAGTAGTCCGGCGGAGACTGCTGCCAAAAGGCGCGTGTTGCCCGCAAGGCAACGTCTACCTCCCCCAGGGTTGAACAGGGGGATCCGTCCGCACGCAGTACCTGTGCAGTACCGAAGGACCCAAGGGAAGATCGGTGAAGATCCCATCTAGGGTGTTTGTGCGGCATGCGCGCACCAAGCTGCCGAGGATCCTTGATAACCGGTGGAGGAGCGGCATTGACGGTTTCAAGGGTCATCAGCTGCATGACAACTTGCTGCACCTCCACAGCACTCAGCCTGACCGGTTGCCCTTGCGTATGAAGGGTCCGGGTAGTGAGCAGGTGCTGAAAGGTCTCAAAGATAGACCACGGTATGAGAAAGGAGGCAGCATTTGGCCGCTGCCTTTGCCGTTTAAGGAGGTAGGGAAGTGCCCCTAACCTGCCCGCCGAAACATGACTAGCAGCATGCTCCAATTCCCCTGCCCACCATACATGAAAGAGACTCTGCAGGTCTTGTAGTGCGGGCGAGTCAGGAAGAAGGGCCTTAAGGCGCTCCAGGCGCACTTTAGCCGGATGCGATGAATGCCCCGGTATGCGTGTAGCCGGGGAAGCTGCCGGCTGTTTAAAGGCACGTGTCGGTATCGCACGATAAGCCGCGGCTCCGACGTCATTGGCGAGCATACGTGCTCGACGTACTCGAAGAGTGACGACGCCATGGCCCTGTGTGAGCGTGTGGGGCCAAAATACTCGACTCCGCAGGTTGCGACAACCTTCAGCTTCCTCATTATGCAAAATCTCGTCCAGGCAGGATGAGACCCCACCAGACCGATACGTTGGGGAACAAACAGAGACCTTGCGCAAGAGACCTTCCGCACAAAGCAACTCCCACAGACCTGGTTGCTTGGTCGCCATACGATTGAAGTCACCCGCGACAAAAAGCTCATCCCGGTGAGGCCGAGACGCGAGGTACGACAACAAGGCCTGTCCCACTTCAACCACCTTGTCGGGATGAGCATAAACGCAAATGATCTCACAACGCTGAGCAAAATACTGAATACTGGCCGTAAGAGCAAACCCAGGCATGATCTCTGTTTGAGACACCAGCGTAAACGGAGCCGGGACTAGGATGGCCACCCCCGAGCTGCAAGTGCCTGAGATCGCAGGTGACGCCGCAATGGCTGCACGCGGGAAGGTATGTGCAGCAGTGATGGGACCACCGGCATCCCAGTTTGTCTCCTGAAGGCATACCGGCCCTCGCTGGAGAAGGCTGCAAATTGTTTTGGTTTTGCATTTGGCAGCGACACTCGTCCAAGTTCTGTAGCTGGACACATTCCAGGTAGACACTTGCAACGCGAGGCCATAGCCTTTCTTGGGATCAGGAGCGCACTTGGTAGTGATAACGGGCTGGACCAGCGCAAGTATTGCGCCTCCAAGCTCGGCTTGCAGTGCGGCCACATCCACATTTTGCGACGAGTAGCCCAACACGAGTGGCAGCAGGTGGACGCCCTCCTGCGAGG